CTTGTTATGGCCAATATTGCTGGCCAATTCCTAGCATACCAAATAAAACAATAATAAATAAAAATAAAAAAAGAGATTTGAATGATTTGTTGAGTTTGAATTAATACAGGATAAAATGAATGTCAATTTAAAAACAAGAAAAATTTCAATTATTTTGAAGGAAAGGCTTTCCTTGTTAAGCCTCAAATTTTGTATGTCTCGTCTATAACTGAAGAAAAACATTTTCGAAAAATTGAAATTTAAAACAAATTTGAATAAATAAAATAAAATGGGTAAGTAGATATTAATTTCACAAAATAAGTTAACAAATATAAACGCAAAAACCATCGACAAATTAATATTGTATTTAAAAGTTAAATTTCCAGATATACAGGGTATTCACAATTTCATATACATATATAAGGGCATTCAATAGCCCGCACACTCTGCAGCTTGTTTTGCTTCGCAAAGTGCTGCTTTGGAGTTGGCTTTTGTATTACAAAATGATGGCCATTAAATTAATTAATTTGCGCCTTTCAAGCTTCAGCTCAAATTTCAATTAAATGAGAAAAAATACGTAAAAATACAGCAGAAAATATTGAATTGGTTTAAGCAGAAGCTCACAAATTGCCGCAGCTATATATAAGCCTACAGATAGAGATACTTTAAGGCACAGCTGTAGATACTTTCAGATAAGCCACGACCTACGAGTCGAGGCAACGAAATGGCTGAACATGGTGGTTTTATAAATTTACAACAATCAAAGAACAGAAAACTAAACACACTTCACACAAAAATCACGTCTAAATGAGGTAACAAAAAAGATTACGAAATAAATGAAGAAAAAGTAGAAAAATACACGTTAATAAAGCCCGCTCTTGGCTCTGTCTTGGCCCTGTGCTGGCTCCTGCTTGGCCTTTGGTTTTACGCTAATTTTATTTGTGGTTTTTCCGATTTGATTTTATCAACACATTTTATTGTAATATTCTTGCGGCCAATTATTGTTTGTTGCTGCTCGAGTGAATTTGATTGATTTGCGCGTTTTTCAAATTCAATTTTCTCGCAGCCAGCAAAATCAATCAAAACTTTGTTTTGCCTAATGTATTTTACGGGTTCTCCTCAACACCTGGCCAAAAATAACAACAGCAATGACAATGACAATGAAACGTTTGGTTCGGGCCAGAATGTGAGCTCAGCTTCGGCCTTTCTGTTTTAAAATATATTATGAAATACGCGTTATTAATTTCTGGCTGTGACTGTGCCTGGCTCCTGCGGAAGAGCCAGCCGCCAATCACCTCTGATAAATGGGCAGACAGTTGGCAGGGGCAGGGGCAGGGGCAGGGCCACGCCCATTGCCGTTTGGACATTTGAAGAAATTGCTCAAAACGCCTCCCGTTTGAGAAGAGGAGAAATTAAATGAATGAAAAAAATTAATTACAAAATAAAAACTATTTGCGTTACGCTTCTTTTACAGGGGCCGGCCATTTGATACGACTGCAAAATCAAGACTTGGCAACGCCTCCTACCTCCCTCCCACCCTCCTCTGTCTCCCCCTCCTGCGTCTCTCTGGCCTTTCAATTAAATGGCCATATATCATGGCAGAGCTTTTGCGCGCACATCGAATGCAATTAAAATCAAATGCTTGCCTCCATTTTTTCATCTTTCTTTAAATTCAAGCAAATTGTAAAACGATAAGCCTGGCCGCAGCTATGCGCCGGGACCACCCGGGCAATCTGAAGCTGGCTCCGCTTTCTAATTGCCATCAACTGTTTTCCGTGACCCAAAAGCAAGTGCGGGCAGAAATTAGATATAGTACATATATTGTATATATTTTTTAAAGGGACGACATTTGAATTTAATGTAAAAAATATAGATAGCAATTCTTAAAGTTCTTTCATCCAATTTGAGTATAGTTCGATCTTCTATAACCAACTTCTACTTCGATATATGTAAGTTGATATATGTAAAGTAAACAGTTGTTGGCTTTACAGTGAAAATAATATTTATGCGTGTTCGATTTAATAAATGTTGAATCGAAGACATGCCGAGGGTCACAAGTCGTTCAATTAAGCGAAAATATAAATATATTTTATTCAATTTTCAACTAAAATTATATGATGCTAATATATGTATAAAACACAAAAAGAAACTGATGAAGACATCAAAACTAATTCGCAACGAGAACTGAAGACCATCCCGGAATATAGCTTTAAAAAGTGTTTCGATGATTGGATTGTTCGTTGGAAGAAGTGTATTGCCTCAGAGGGGCCTATTTTGAAGGGGATATAATAAATTTAGATGATTGATATGTTGTTTTATTTCAAATTTCCGGGTACTTATTTGACGGAATGTATATTTCATTATAACATAAAAATCGAATTCCTGCCGTATCAGTTCAGAGCATGAAAAAACAAGCGCTACTCATTATAAACAAAAAATGTATAGAAATTCAAATAAGTTAAAGATGCGCCATCAAATCTATTTGTGCCCGTTTCTACTTTGTTTTACATTGTTATTTTAAAGTATTTAGCATTTGGCACTGCGCGTGACACCAAAATAAAGAAAGAGAAAAACACGAAGCACGCTCCGCTCTAGTGGCAAAAGGCTCTGCCACTGCGCTTAGTTACGTTTTAAGTAGCCGCAGTCAATATTGTCTTTAGCTGATTTAACTTGAAAGCAGCAGAAGCAAGCAGTAATTTAATATTTTCTTACCAGTTCATTTGAACTGGAAAATATGTTAAGCTCACGACGCATATTCCATCGGAAGGCTGAAGGTAGTGTGGCGTATAGATTAGCCTCCAGCACGGTTAATGCCTCACACAAAAGTCCAGAAGTCGCGGGATTGAATCAAATCCCCTACATTCATATCCTGCCGATTACTGGCATCGAGGGAGGCCGACTTCGAAATGATGGTAATATATAACAAGAGATTCTTAGTGGAACATTAATCCACTTCCACAAATAACAAACAATGCATGCGTTACAAGACTTCCGACTTGGCTACTAAGCGCTAAGATTTCTTTCCCAATCTACTGAGTCCATAAAAACTATTGCCTACAAAGTGTTTAGCTCCATGATAAAACAAGTCGTGAAGCCGTCAACATCATCGATGAACCCGAAATACATCAGGAATGTCACCAGACTTGGAAAAGATCTGGTACAACAGTCACGTGCGCAGCCCTGTAGGGACTCAGCCAGATGACTTCCAGAGACGCTCAGGAGACCAGGCAGACGTGATTTTAGAACCAAAGAACACGTCAAAGGATATCGCCGCTCTATGAATGATGTACTAGCCCCTTTAAGTAATACAATAAAAAAGCTTCTCTGAACAACCAAATCGAGAAATGATCAATCGAATAAAATGTAAAGAATGAAGAGTAAAAGATTTTTATATCATTCCCAAATGAACGAGTCCGAAACTCTGGTAGGTGAGGGATTTAAATTCTCGAGTAATGTTCAATAAATGAAGAAAGATATTCCAAAAAATATTCCATTGAAAATCTCGTGACATTTTATGCTTAGAGTTTCCACTAGAGATAACATGAATTTATGGAGTTCTTGTCGGATGATAAACAAAAAATATGTCACATTGTCAATATGTATTTTAATGAAATAAAAAATGCTACTACAATAATCACAACGAAAATGAAAAGGCAAAATACATTAAAATAACGGGATTTTAAACACATTTTCAACCGGGGATCAAATTTGAAGCGTCTTTTTTTCTGGCAATAGTTCAAAAAAAGCCAGAAACAGGAGCAACTGGAAAGCTTTATGCATAAACGAAAGAAATACCCAAGAGCTCAAGTCAACATATTGTATTCACGTCTCGCTTTAATTTGTAACTCCCGTTTCGCAGTGGAATAAGGGGGAATTGGGCCAGCAAATAGCTGAAACTGGAAATGTTTTCGTGAAAACGATTCGCCAATTGCTCGAGGCGGATCCTGATGAAAAATTAAGTTATAAAAAAAAACAGATACAATTATGATAATATTTCTAACCAACAATACCAGATATATGGAAAAACCTATAGGAATGAAGTGCATATCTCCAGAAAGCTTAAGATTTAATAAACAAATATTAACAAAAAAAAAACAACACAGATAAACCGACTTAAAATAACGAAAACAAAAATCAAAAATACATAAAAAAAATGTAACGAGCAAAACGATAAGCTTTGCCAAATTGGGCAGGATGTTGTTAGGGGTAGTCAGGCAGCGCGCGCTTGAACCAGTTGAGAATTCTAAGCGATAGAAATGTGAACAACTTCTTTTGTGTGTGAATTTAAACCAAAGTAGGCATGTTGAATGAACAGAGTGTCCAGTTTTTAGTAGCATACTTAGAAGTATTTTATATTTATTAATGCAGGATAAATTAAACAAGTCCCGGGACAGAGTTTTCTTAAAGTAGCTTTATTAAGATTCACAGCAAGAACTGGCTTTTACGGCCATGCAAAATAGCTGAAATCAATTAGTTTTCTTTCTTTGGGAATTGGGTAATTTGAAAGATATAAAATTATTATTACAAATTAGGCATCAATAAACTTTCAAATGTCTATAAAACAGACGCATTCCTTGAGCCCACAACTTTCCGGACATTAGAACATGGTTTCTGGCACAAAACTCTCAACACTCTGGCGTTTGGTTAAAGCGCTTAACGAGCATTCAGAGCGGCGTCCATATAAAGCTATTAAACAACCATTAAACTAGCCCATAAAATGCTCCATATGAACTGGCCCATTAGACGGGCTCCCTCTCTCTCTCTCTCTGTCTTTGTCTCTCCCGCTGTTGGTCATTAATTCCATTTGCTATTCCCACAGGTCGCCCATCAAATTGGGAATGTAAAACGCGTCAAACGCATTTCGAATTAGTTTTTGGCTGTTGCCGCTCCAATTAGGTGACTCCAACCCCTCCCTGCACCTCGTAACCACCTGTCTGATTTTGGGTTTGGGTTTTCTTGGGTAGAATTATGGGCATTGCGATAGGCGCGGATGCTTTCTAAGTGCTCTCGAAAACTTGAACTCACGTTTTGGCAGCTTTGCCGTGTTGTTGATCTTGTTGTTGTTGTTGCTGGCCATCAAACTTGGCCAATTGTTCTTCAATATCGCTTAATTGCATATCATCAGCAATGGCCGCATTTAAGTAGCAGCCCGCTTCGGTTTTGGACTGCCCTCTGCCGCTGCCGCTGCCACGCCCACCGCCCAGCAGCTGCTCCGTGTCCGCATTGTGCAGCCAAACGGTGCTGCGATTCCGGCAAACATTCAAATTGCGTAGCTCGTTTAGGGGCAAATGTCGCGGCGTCGACAAAGTGGGCATGGTTCGCTTCTGCTGCTGTTGCAGGCGCTGCAGCTGCGCTGGACTGAGGCTGCCCGTGAGCATGGCCACCTCGACATCATCGTCCGTCTCGCCATTGCAGGATATGCCCGAGGAATGGAAGTGCTCCTCCTGCAGCTTGAGGGGCACATTATCGCCGGACAAATCGCTGCTGATCAGACTCGACTGCTGCGAGTGCAGCGCCCGCGCCAGGCTGGGCGTGCCCTCGGTCAGCGGGCAGCTGGGCGCCGGCAGCTCCAGCGCTATGTCATAGGGCGCCAGCGTCAGCTGCTTGGGCTTCGTTTTGGTCTTGACAGCAGCCTTGATCGGGTAACCGGCGCTGGGCAGCGCGCGCTGCTTGGAACAGTTGGTCTTCGGCTTGCGCGGCGTCAATTTGGCCACCGTCGATTGGCGCGACTGATGAGCGCTGCGCTGCGGCTGCTGGGCGGGCACAGTCAAAGTGGCCGCTGGAGCTGGAGCTGGAGCTGGAGCTGGCGCAGCAGCTGGTTCCGGTCGGCGTTCGGCGGAGCGTCGCCGGCTGCGTCGTATGCTGGGCATATTGCGCGGAAACAGTTTGCCCGCATCCGGCTGGGAGTTCTTCGAGATGCTGTCGCTGGGCGAGCCGCTGCTGGCGCTGCTGCTGCTGCTGCTGGTATCGGTGATGGCCAGCACCGAGGCACATTCGCTGTGCATAATAATCTCGCGATAGTTTTTTGTGGCATCATTTTGCGTGTGTGGCAGGCAGATTTTCCACCAGCGCTTCTTGGCGAGCAGCTTGGACATGTTTGGGCAAAATTGGAGCTGTTTCCAATTAGCACATGTCACACACACACACGAACACACACAGGCACACGCACACCTGCTCGCCGTGACGCGTCAATCACAAATCGCCAATTGACACATTAACGAGACACCGTTGGACTGGTATGCAGGTTGCACAGCAATTACTGTCCACTGCAATTAACGGCCAATCCGTTTGTTCTAATTACGTGCGTAAAATCAATGAGATCTCGCTCAATATATCAATTCCCGACTATGGGCACGCGCGCGATTTGCAAAAACCACTACAAAAACCGCAATCAATTGTATTAAGAGTCATGCGAACCGTGCGCCTTGAAGTCGCGTTCACAACTGAAGCGGCTGCGCGTGCGTAGAAAGTAGTTAAGCTGAACGCGCAGCAGCAGAAAGTTCAACAGAGCAGAGAGAGAGAGAGATCGAAAGAGCGAGAGAGCGCACAGGTTGATGCAGGTCAAACTCAACACAGCTGCTGAACGCCGGCTTGAACTCACCACACGATCAGCGCTCGCTCTCTCGCTCTCAGCTGCTCTCTCTTATACGCTGAGCAAGTGCAGCATTGCGCATAACAGGTGCCGGCTGCCGCTGCTGAGCGAGTGTGAGTGGAGGGGAGTGCAGGAATATTTTGCTGCATTTTGAGCGCTGTTTTTTTTTTTTGAGTGGCTTCGTGATTTGTGGCCGCATTCTGTGCGCTTATTAACAAGCTACTGGTGTGAGCGGCAGTCAGAGCCAGGCGCTACTGGTTGCCTGATTGGCTGCAGGCCATTTGACACATTTCAAGCACTTTAGCGACTGACCCATTTCAGAGCACAGCAGCGGCAGCGGCAGCAGCAGAAGCGGAACTAAGCACTCAACGATTATGACTGAGCTGAAGATTTAGTTTGAGCTCGAGTTTGAGCCAAGCCCGCGAGCCTTTGTTGTTATTGTTGTTGACGCATTAGCGGCGCGCCACAGTCGCAGGCATTATTATGTGGCAAAGCCGGAAGGGTTGCATTTGGGTGGCTAAAGAAAATCAAAGCTCGAATTTCACTCTTGATTGACAGCTTAAAATGCTGAACAGTGAAATTTGCTGATAATGTTTTCCGACTTTCTAAACATGAAGCGCGTCATGTTAAATCAGTTGTATTAATGCGCCTAAATATATTTTCTCCACTTATTTTGTTTATTAACTTTTTCAACTTACATTTAAAATTCGCCAATAAGGGTTTCCATTTTGCTGGCCAGCACTGTAAACGTTTCACAAATTGTTTGCCAAACTGTAATGAGAACAAAATATGCCAAAAAGCAAATAAATTAGAATGCGCTGTTCAAAGTTAAATATATGCACAGAGGCGTAACAAACAGAAAGGGGTTGCGGAGGGTTAATGATACAAAAATGTGCAACTAATTGCGAACAAAGTGGAAACAACAAAATAAACAAAAGCGAGTGCAAAAGTATTTTAATTACCAGCATTGCAGTGTCAAAAACACGCCCCCTTTGCCGCCCCCAACAGTAGCAACAACAACAGGAAAGTGCGTCAAAACTTTATTTGACAGTTACAACTGAACAATTCATGAAGTGAAATGCGCAAAACGAAACAATTTTGATTAAAACTGCGACACGCAGTTGCCAGTTGGCAGTTGGCAGTTGGAATGTCAGCCAAATGTAGTTGGCAGTTATTTGAAAGGGGGTGGGTTAGCGGGGGGGGGGGGGGGGGGATTACGTGCAGAATCTCTGACAATTGCCATTTGTGCTAAGTGTAGCAAACGGGCAGGGCAACAGGTAAAAGTCAACGTCACATGGAACATTCCAAAAAAAAAAAAAGTAAAAACAGAAAAAAATAAAACTTGTAAAACGAACGACACGGCGAATGTCCCCCGCGACTGCGACGCCGCTGCAAAGGTCGTAAAAGTTGAGATTTTAACGTGCGCTCTACACGTGTACTCTGCACTCAGAGTGTGCGAGTGTGTGTGTGAGTGCAAAAGAGAGTGAGAGTCGGTGTCAGGAGTCAGAAGCGGCGCACTTGGGCGCAGCTGATGCCAGGCAGCGCGGCGCTGCGAACGCGCATCGCTGCCAAGATGGCGTCATAAAGCACTAAAAAGTATTAAAACAATTTACACTTTGTAAAAACAACAGCAGCAGCAGCGCAGCAGCAGCAGCAGCAGCAGCAGCGATAGCGACAGCAACAACCGTTGTGTGGCTTGTTGTTGCCTGCACGTGTGCGCGCCTAACGGGCAAGTGCGAGCGAGACAGCGTGTGTAACAGGGCACTTACTTTCGCTCGCACTCGCTGTGTTATTTACATTTTCTTTTTTGTTTTGTGTTGTGTTTTTTCTGCTGCCAACTGCACAACATGGCGTCAGCAGCTCCTGCCATGCGTTCGTTCTAACTGTCATAATCATAACGGTGCTCGCAGCTCAGTATTGCGAAATGGCGGCTGGGCGGAACGGGACGTTGACAATCGCGTTACCATAATTCTTTTTTCGCTAAATTCAAATAGCATTTGGCGCTTATTTGCATAAACAACGTGAAAGTCATAAAGTGAAAAATTGTATAAAAATATAATAAGAATGGGGAATTGAAGTGCAAGCGGGGTGGAGGGCGGAGGATGAAGGGTGGCTGAGTAGAGCTGCAGCAATTGTTAAGCCCTGAATGACAGGCACTGTGGAGAAAATCTGGGGAAAAACTGATTGAACAAATATGTAAAATTCTTAAATTCAATTTAAAAATGTAATTTGGTAAGCAGATAAAATTAAAGTTATGAAAGAGAAGAGAGCTGACTTGCTAGCTTGTCAATATATATATTTATTGTTAATTTAACAGACTTCCGCAACAGCGCTAGTATACCAGCACAAGAAGAGCTTAGCTCTCAAATCTGTGTCTCTCAAAATTGTATTTTATTATTTCAAAGAGTTCTATTTGCAATTGTTAGCTGCATTTGACACCATGGTGCGTCATTCACAGTTATTCAATTTGAATGTCTCTACCGTTATATCCGCTCGGCAGCCATGCCACAATGTGCCATATGCGAAGCCCTCAACCAATCCGCAGCTATATAAAAGCGACTTCCTCTTAAGACAATAAGCAGCGAGCGTTAACAGAGGAGCTGGAGATGGAGTGGGAGGAGAAGTGGGAGTGAGAGTTGGAGCTGTGGCAATAGCAACGGGGAGCCGTAACAATTGCAACCAGCTCAAAGAGGCAGCGCCTGTCGCTCAGTTTTTTCGAGTTTCCTGCGTGGGCGGCCCTAATGATGATGTCGCCCGCTGTTGTTGCTGCTGCGGCTGCTTCTGAATTGTTTTTGTTGATGTTGTTGTTGTTGTTGCTGGGGAAATGTGGCGAAAGTCTCAAGTGCCGCCTGCCAGCCCGAAGGCCCGTTATATTTATGAAAAATATTTTGTTGTTTTTGTATGAAATGTGATGACAAAACAAGGAGGCGCAATCATTGCGTTGATTTGCAAAATGGCGCTGATGACAGTCGTCTTTCGGGTCCGGGGAGGGGGGCAGGCAGCCAGTCTAGAGGGGGGCTTGGCTGCGTGGGCTTACTGATTTTTAATTAAAAAAGCAACAAGAAGCAGAGCTACAAGAGCGCAAAAAAAGCAGAGCTCAAAGTGCGCGTCAGAAGGTTTCCTTTTGTTAATCGACTTGATTGTAAATATTTTCTTGCCTTGCCTGCCAGGGGTGTCCCTTTTTGCGTTGTGTATTGCTTGTCATGTTGCTATTGCAGCGCATCTAACGGCACATTCACCCAGCCTCCAGTGACAGTGCCACAAGCAGGCACAAGTCGGCCCCCGCCTGGCCGCACCTGTCCGTCTCTAGCCCGGCAGCCGCCCCTTCACGAGTGTGTCGCAACATTTGCCTTTGTTATTTATGGCAGCATTGTTCGTGTTGCTGCTGTTGTTGTTGTTGTTGTTGTAGTTGCCGTCGTCCCTGCTGATGCGTTGCGCGTTTTTTCACGCGCCCAACTTGTGCAGCTGCGGCAAAGAAGGGGCGCGTCTGCCAGGGGCCGGAGCGGAGGCGGCGGCACAAGTTTGTTTTTGTCATTCGCGTTTTTAATTTTGACTTTGACGCTGGGCAATAACAATAATGTCAGCCATGTCTGTCAGCAGCAGTTGAACCAATTTTGGCAACAAGTTATAGCCAGGAAAAGGGGGTGAGAGGGAGGGGGAGAAAGAGCGGGACTAAAGAGTTAGTTAAGTTAAGACTTAAAGTAACAAAAGAAAAACCCTTTTAATCTGATATAAATATATAGATATACTAGATAACGTATAGAAGGAGACAACTCCGACCCCATTAAGTATATATATTCTAGATCAGCATCAACAGCCGAGCTGATATAGTCGGTCCGCCCGTCTGTTCTTCTGTCTCACATATCTGCAAAAGGGAAATGCCTACAAGGGTATTTAATCTTCGGCTTGCCGGAGATATCATTACTTTCTCGTTTAAATTTAAATATTGTACTTTTCATTAAATAATATATTATAATAGTTTTTGTTATTCAAGTCATTCAATAAACATTTACCAACTGCCTTTTATTGTTTTTTGATTTTGTTAAATTCTTTTTGTGTCATTTACTTAACGACTTTTTGTATTACATTTTATCTAGATCGTTTTTATGAGCAGCTCTCATTAAATTTCAATAAATACCATATTCAAAATTTCATTTTATAGTCCAGCTTCCATTATATTCTAATAAAAATAATATCCGCACTTTAGTCCCAGTTCCGCACTACAAAAGCTAATTTCAGAGTTCGGCTACGAAAATGTTTAATATACTTGTGCTGCTTTGTCTGGTTGCCACGCCCACTGGCAGTGTGCGCTTTAAGTTAACAGGACTTGAATGTCAAGCGGTGGATCCGAAGTTTTGTGCCTTCGAGAATTGCATAATAAAGCCAGTGAGTCGAGGCATCAAGGAAATCAACGGAAAGATCAAGTTGCTGCAGGTGCCAGTGAATAATATATCGGTAGGTTTCGATTCAAGTAGTCCCTAGCAGCCTATTTATGTACAACGAGAAAGCTCTCCGCAGATACGCATTGAACTGACGCGCCGCGGCTATATAAAGTACTTGCTATACGCCGTCGATATCGATGGCTGCCAGTTTTGGATAGGTAAACGCCGCAATCCTATTGCCAGCAGCGTTTACAAGTCCTTGCGCCTGGACGTCTTCACCAACATCAATCACTCGTGTCCCTACAATGTGAGTCCTTCCGCATTCGAGTGAATGGGTATTCAAATATTTTGGTTTCTAGCACGATTTAATTGTGGATCACCTGCGACTCGACGAGAATCTCAACCTAAACCTGCCCATCGCAGTGGGTGAATATGTGATTAAGCTCCATTGGAAGGCCTACAATATTCTGCGCGCCATTGTCAACTGGAATTTACAAATTGAATAAGGCTTACAACTGATTAATGAAGTCCCTTCTAGAGCCTAAATATGCCCTTATATTATGTTATATGCCCAACTCGTATAGTTTTCTTTCTGAGCATCAGTGCTCGCTCTTTCAAAACGACGTGTAATGAGAAATAAATAATTATTTCGCTACAATTGAACTCAATTGATTTATAATTGCAATTTTAAAAATTTCAAAAACTAACATTAGCTGTTTTTTGGCAACAAGCTAATGAGGTTCTTTAATCTAATTTTCAGTTTATAGAGCTGCCGTCCAGTTGTCAGTAAATCGTGGCCTGCTTTCCTTATGGAAACAATGTCAATAGTTTTGTTCACTTGAATGTAAGGCCGTGGATCCGGCATTTACAGTCGATATATATATATATATCTATACATATATGTATAGTCAGTCAGTCAGAACAAACAGTTTTATATATAGAGATGTTACCCATTATGATTCTCATATATATGCTAAATCCTATCAACATCGGACCACTATATTATAAAGGTGCTATAGGAAGAGTCGGTGGAATAGTGGGATTTTAAAAGGCAAAATATTCTGTTTTCATGGATATTTTCGAGCTGCATTATTTTCACATATCTGCAAAAGGGAAATGCCTTCAAGGGTATTAAATCTTCGGCGTGCCGGACATTTCCCTACTTTCACGTTTAAATTTATATGGTATAATTTTTGTAAAATAACATTTAATAATAAGCAAACGATTTGTCATGGCTTTAATGAACAATTACCAACTAATGTTATCATGCCATTTACTTACGACTTTTCGTATATATTTAGAGGGTATTGAACAGCCATCAAAACGCATAAGCTTTTAATTTGGTGTCATTAATTTTATCAAGATCGTTGTCGACGCATCTCTCATTATATTCCAATAAATAAATTTCCACAATATCAGTCCAGCGCCCATTATATTATAATAAAAACAATATCCGCACTTTAGTCTTAGTTCCGCACTACAAAAGCTAACTTCAGGGTTCCGCTACGAAAATGTTTAAAATACTTGTGCTCCTTTGTTTGGTGGCCACGCCCACTGGCAGCGTGCGCTTTAAGTTAACAGGACTTGAATGTCAAGCGGTGGATCCGAAGTTTTGTGCCTTCGAGAATTGCATAATAAAGCCAGTTAGTCGAGGCATCAAGGAAATCAACGGAAAAGTCAAATTGCTGCAGGTGCCGGTGGATAATATAACGGTAGGTTTCCACTCAACTAGAGCATAGCAGCCTATTTATGTATCTGCAGATACGCTTTGAACTGATGCGCCGCGGCCATATAGAGCACATGTTATACGCCGGCGATATCGATGGCTGTCAGTTTTGGAAAGGTAAACGCCGCAATCCAATTGCCAGCAGCATTTACAAGTCCTTGCGCCTGGACGTCTTCACCAACATCAATCACTCGTGTCCCTACAATGTGAGTCCTCCCGCATTTGAGTGAAGGGGTATAATAATTATTGGTTTTCAGCACGACTTAATTGTGGATCACCTGCGACTCGACGAGAATCTCAACCTAAACCTGCCCATAGCAGTGGGTGAATATGTGATTAAGCTCCATTGGACGGCCTACAATATTCTGCGCGCCATTGTCAACTGGAATTTACAAATTGAATAAGGCTTACATTCGAAATTTACAACTGATTTATGAAGTCCCTGCTAGAGCCTGAATGTGCCCATATATTATGTTATATGCCCAACTGCTGAGCATCAGATTTTGCTCTATCAAAACAGTGAATAATGAGAAATAAATAATTATTTCGTTACAACTAAACTCAATTGATTTATAATTACAATTTTATCATTTAAAAAACTAACATCATCTGTTTTTTAGTAACAAGCTAATGAGGTTCTTTAGTCTATTATTCAGTTTACAGAGCTGCCGTCCAGTTGACAGTGAATCGAGGCCTGCTTTCCTTATGGAAACAATGTCAATAGTTTTGCTTCTTGTTGCTGCGCTTGTCACACCCACACGGACTACACACATTAGGTTTAAGTCACTTGAATGTCATTCCGTGGATCCGGCATTTGCAGTAGTCCAGAGCTGCATTATGAAGCCGATACGTCGTGATGTCAAGGAGGTTTCGATAGTTATTAAATTGCTGCAAACACCCGTAACTAACATAACGGTAGGTGGGCCTCATTTAAATCTATATATATATATATATATCTATATACAGCAATATTCCCATGCAGATTCGTGCAGCAATCATGCGACGCGGCTTCTTCAAGCCCCCGTTATACAGCTTCAATGTGGATGCCTGCCGTTTTTTGGAGACCGAAAATCGCAATCCCGTTGCCAATGCTCTCTATAAGTTCCTGCGCTTGAGCGTGTACTCCAATATGAATCATACGTGTCCCTTCGATGTGCGTGAGCCCAAATAAATTTGCCTCAATTAATTGCATATATCATATTTATTACAGCACGATATTATTTTGGATCACATGCGGCTCGACGAGACCTTCTTTTTGCCGCTGCCCATTGGCCTGGGCGAATTCACGATCAAATCCTATTGGCATGCATACAATGTCCTGCGAGCCAAAGTCAACGTTAATATTGAGGTAATATAAGGAGACAAGGATTTCAACTATATATATATACCAAGTATATAAATCGGCAAATATAACTCTTATAATAAATTCCTTGACAAGCGAAAAAATAAACATTTATCGAAGTCATGCGTAACCAAATACGTGCACGATAATAATATGTTTTGGTTATTTGGGAATAAATTCTGATCGATTTACTTGATTCGGCTTCGTTTACATATTTAATATATGTATGGAATAATATTAAGAGTTGGCCGCTTAGTCAGCTGGAAAGTTCAATGGATAAACAGAGTTGGACGTATATTGCGCTTAAAAATATGTTTAATATTTAGTGCGAGTTTAAAATTAGCCAAATGAGGGTCTGAAAAAAATGTGTAATTTTTAGCTGCCCAAATTTCTATCTGTCAAGGATATAAAAGATTAATATGGGCTTCAATTATGATTAATAAAAAACTAGTCATAAGCCAAAATGGGGCTTCCTTTTAGAGCTGTGTGGGCTTAGCCTAATACTTCAAGTTTCTTTTATAAGAAAGAGCAGATAAGTTGAGGTTAATTGGTTCTTATAAGAGAATTTGTTTAAGTTCTTCCGTGTTATGATGTCACGGAATAATCATTGCAATCAGAATTTCCTACTTCATTCAAGTCTTACAGGTATTATCGTACTCTTTATAAGTATATATACCTGATTTAAGTACAAGTTTCTCGATTATTTCTCTCCGTGTGGGCTTTGGAGATTATTTGAAATATTTAAAACCAAAATGTCGAGGAAGAAAATTAGTTTACAAGTCACTCTTTACGCTAACCTCAATCCAAACTATGCTGTGAGCACTCTCTTGGGCGGAGGGTCTACCTTATAGATACCGGAAGGGGGCATCGCTTATAATATTATAGAAAGGGTCCGCCTAAAGGGATTGTCCGATTTTTAGGAGTGTCCATTAGAAGAGTTTTCCCTGTACTTTATGCTTTCGACGATATCTTCTTTTGCGCGTTTCACACATTCTGCACAATTGAAAGCACCCTTTAAAAACAATTTAATTGCTTTTATATTTAAACATTTTAATATACATTTTATCAATACTTTTTATCAGCTAGTTGGCTTTAATTTAAAAAAATAAATAGGCAACAACAACAATTGCGAAAAGCGGTTTTAAACTAGGTGGCATTTCAATGTGGAGATGATCAGTCAAGCTTTGCGTGACATGCGGTTCACTTGTTCAATGCAAATTGTGTGCGTGGCATTCTCACTGCTTGCCACGCCCACTTGGACGGCATTCATAAAATTGACGGGCTTGGATTGTCTTAGCGTCGATCCGAGCTACCTTGTGTTTGAGAACTGCATTATAAAGGCACAAAATCGTGACATCAAGGAGATATCGGTAGCGGTCAAATTGCTGCAATTGCCCGTGACAAATGTAACGGTAGGCGGTTATATCTATGCCCATATAGAGAGTATATACCTTCTCGATCTGCAGATTCGCGGCGATATCAGGCGTCGCTTTAAGCCACCATTTTATAGCTACAACATAGACGGCTGCATATTCATGCAGAGCAACAGGCGCAATCCCATTGCCGATGCCGTCTACAAGTTCCTGCGCCTCGAATTCTACTCGAACCTGAACCACTCGTGCCCCTACAATGTGAGTTGTTCCAGAATATATAGTTATCAAATTAATAATACTTAAGCTTTTGCTATATAGCACGATGTGATAGTCGATCGCCTGCGCCTCGATAAGACCTTCAACCTGCCGGTGCCCATTGGCACGGGCGAATACGTGATCACAACCCATTGGCATACGTACAACAAGCCCCGTGCCATTACGCACATTAACTTTCTGATTTCCGGATGAGTAAAATATATATTACTTAACATGCAGAAAGATTGCATAGCAACAAAAGTAAGAGCACAACTGATAAACATGAATTAAAATCCTTTCGCTTTTGGTTAAAATTTTCAAGTATTTGAAATATTCCAGAACATTCTTAATAATCAGTCAAAGGAATAACTGCTAGAGGAAGGGAGAAGAAGAGGATGTTCGCAAGCTTTTCTGGGCACATTCTTCCGCAAATACTTCAAAATTTCCATTGCAAAAGGACATCAAAGAAATGGTTGATTTTTTTTCGAGTATAATAAAACTCTTGCTTGTCAGTCCCTTGTTTACATATTCTAAGCATTCTGGCAACATACTTGGGCAAAATTAGACTCTATAAATTCGTAAATTTACAAAAAATCTACTATCATTAATCTGAGTAACAGCTGAGCGCTGGGCTGGGTTTAGCTCATTTGTCAGCAACTTGTTGACAGGCAGTTAAAGCATTTTTTTGTTGCTGCCACAAGTGAAAGCAAAAGGCAGCATCACTAAAATGTCAAACAAAGCAAAACCTGGACCAAATGCTGGCCAAGCTCTTGTGTACATAATTAAATGGTGCTGCATGTGGCAGATCGACAGACGTGTGACTGACTGTGACTCTTTCACTGCCCGGTTCAATAAACAGCCAAACACAGGAGAGCAACACCCTCAATTAAGCAAACGATGACAGCAAACAAATAAAATGGGCACCAAACTCCGAATACGTTTAAGCCCAAAGGCAAACACAGTTGTTGCTGGACTCGATAACTGCAAGGCCTGCCTGCCCCGCCCACAGGTTTTATGTGCATGAGGAATTATGAATATTGCATGCGCCCTGCCATGCTGCAAAGAACTTCTCCCTACTTCTTTGCAGAGTTGACATCAAATCAGCTCTAAAGACCCTCTAAACAAGCGTGTGTTGTGTGTTGTGTCTAGGCTAATAAATGTATGTGCCTCTTTGTTGTGTGTGTGTGTGTGTTCTGGGTGTGTAAATAATTAAATTCTTAATTATCTCATGCCACACACTCAGCCGTAAACTCTTGTTTTAGCCTGAAGGCACCTGATTAGCCGCATTCAACTTCATTTGCACTTTGCCCAAAAGCAACAAAAAAAGGAGCCAAAAACAAAATCTCATTTAATTAATTTTAATAATTCATACATCACAAGCTCACACGTGAAGATATTTTGGCTTTAAAGCCAACAACTAAAAGTAGAATGAATGTTTTCTCGCACCGTGTCAGAGCGTTAATGAGCGAATTAGTATTCATTATTAGGTGTCGCTTCGGGGCCTTGTGGTTTTTCCATTGCAATTTGCATAATGCTTGCCTTATCTCTCCTACTTTTTCCCCGTCAAGTGGGCGTGGCAGTTGCAAGCAGAGTGAGTAAATTAATATAAATGACGCCAAACATTGTCATTTTAATGGCCATACTTGTAGCTGGTAAGTGTTAATGTTCAACTGGGAATTTATGACTTTTTATCCTAGTTCGAAATAATTGCGTGTTGCAATTGTCTAGGGAGCATATCGTATAGATAAGCATGGAAGTAATAGCTTCTAATACTAATGTCATTATAATTTTTATTCAAGCTGGGAATAGTTTCGAAAGTTTAATATAAATGTTTTTTATTTAACATGCATGTAAGGAACAAAGCTGCTTAATACAGGTACAAAGTCGAATGCCTGAGGACTTGTATTCGTTGTGAAAATTTAACAATAATGTTATTGTTTTAACATCCATGTTACCAAGGAAAAAATGAGCTTCTAGCATTGCTTCCGAAAGTCAAACCTATTTTTGCTGATTGCCTTGATACTTCTATTCAATCCTTAAATCGTTTGGGAAAATTAACATCAATGTTATTTTTTTAACATGCATGCAATATCGAATGCATTAACACTTTTATTCAAGCCTGAAATAGCTGGGGAAATTTAACTTGATTGTTATTTTTTTAACATGCATGTTAGCAATGAAAAGGAGAAGTTTATTTCATCGCTAGTGAAACTCAAAATGAATTCAGCTGAATACCTCGCTGAATCAGTACCGTAAACTTCACTTGACATAAGGCGATTGTCTTCCAGGGCCTTAGAAATTGAGACCTGGCAAAATTAAGCGTTCATATCATATAACACCTTCCCGATACATTTCAGCACCTCTCAATGTTAAAGCAAACAGTAAAGTTACAAAATCGAAAAATAAACATTACCATTATTTTCTTAACATGCATGTTAAGAATGAAAAAGAGGAGCTACTTTCATTGCTCGTGAAACTCAAAACGATTTCTGCCGAATTCCTCGCTGAATCATTACCGGAAACTACACTTAACAAAGGCCTATC